AGGAAATTTACCAACCAAAGCAAGCTCAAACGGTGCCGCCAACGTCGTGATTTCCACATCGGAAATCAACAGCACCGGCAACCCCTGATGAGAAGAAACCTTGAGCTCGGGAAAACCACCAGAAAGAGGGGAAGAACCAGAAAGTGAATATTTAAACTAAAGAGAAGATGAAGCATCCAAAAATCCAGGGTCACGAAAACGAGAAGGAGCCATAAAAACCAGATCTAAGAAGGAGAACTTCCCTGCAGTAGGAAAGGAAGCAGCTATCACCGCAAGGGATGAGATGCCGGAAGGGGCGGCTAGGGCGAAGCCCTAGCACACCCTAGAGCAAGCGAGAAAAAAGACGCAGCCATTAATGAAGTTGAGAATATTTCATGATAGTTTCATATTAAATACTAAAATAATTAAATGATAATAATAATAATTAAACAAAATACATAAAATTAGAATCTTCAAATATAAACACCTAGTAAAATAATATCACCAAATTTATAAACAAAAAACAAATTTAAATTTCATATTGTGAAGTAATTACAATTCTCCCAATTTCTTCAAACCACATATACCCTTAGAGGGGAAAAAGCTAGAAATATTTAGTGATGTGTAGTGTTATTTAACTTAAAAATTCCTCATATGCACATCCAGCCATTATAGGCAATTTCATGGGGACTTTGGATGAGAAAAATCAGAGGAAATGATGGTGTTTGAGTTGGTTGGGCATTTATTTAATTATGGTAATAAATAGGTTGGACTCTATCTAATTGATTGGAATGTGCTATTATAATTTTTTTTAGTAGTTTGATTCTTTGGAAGAAAGAAATAAACTGCTAGTCTTACTTCCAAGAAAGCCTAGTAATGTTTTGTTTGGCAGATTGAATGTACATAGTAAATAATCTCTTTAAGATTTTCAATAGGCAAAAATACTCTTAGCTTATTATACTTTTTAACTTTGGATAATACTCTCGATTAAGGAGATCGCTAGGATCAAAACATTCATGGTGTTATTGGGTTTTTAATTCATGGGGAGTATGTTTAAAGGAGTCATTAGCTCGATTAAGATCCCATGATTTTGCATTATTTAATTTATAGAGTTATTAATGTCTAGTTATTAGATAGCCATGACTTTAATGTGAAGATTTCCTTGCTAAAACCTATAAGTTACTTTTTCTAAGCAGTTGAAAGCTAAATAATGTTATTTGTTTTTATGGAAAAAGCTTTGGCTAGCTCAAGAAATTGATACCATAGAGCTTTGGATGTTGGATAATAGTGAAGCCCTTGAACTTAGTATTCCATGTTTGTGGCCTTGATCAAACTACAATGAGGTTCAAAGGCTTAACTCTTCAGAAGGGTTTATTTAGTTAATCTTTTTAGAGTAAGTTATGACCAACTCTCAAGCTCTAAGGTGTCTAGCTTATAAGGATCTTAATTTTATTGCTTATTTGCTCGATACATCATAGTTTTCAAAAGTAATTTGGGTTGTTTTTATAACAATACAAAATTTTAATAGTTCTTTTCTTTTTGTAACTAACTTGGCTAAGTTATCTAATCTTGTTGGTTAGTTAAGCTATTTTGTGGGTCAATTGGATATAATAGAGGTTGATCTAGTAGTGTGTAGTTTGACCACCAGGTTATTTGAATTACCATACATCCAATCAATACATGCTCTAAGATTAGGTATAAATATTTGTAGTCTTCTCTATTGATTACTATGTGGAATATGAGGCTAGAATTAATAATAGGAATAACATGTTGATAAAGAGTTATATCACAAAATTAGGAGCAACGAGACTACCTAGGTTGCAACTTGGGACCTTTGAATGCAGAAGGAGATTACTATGTGTTGACACTAGTTTTGTCTAATCCTTTTGTGATTTCTATAGTGCAATAGATAGAGAGTACAACTATATTGCTACTAATGTAAACTTTGATGTAGAACATATAATGATATTCTTTTCCTTCTCCTTTTACATCCAAATTTCTCCTTGAAATGTAGTCTTCCAAGTATCTTGTAATGCTTATAAATTTGGACTAATCTACATAATAAGTTTTAGCTTGTAATGAAATATTATAGTAGAGAAGAATTCTTCATTTTCTTAATATTTGGTGGCTTCAAATGTGTGCCTCTTCTTTGGTGAAAATACATAGATATAACTACTTTTAAGTTATTCACCACTTCACATGCATCCTTCAAGACCAATAAATCAACTTGTAGAGCCTCATAACCACTCTGCGAACCTCTATATAGCCCTCAACCAAATAAGAAAATAATATGACCTAGTCTTGTTCTCTACACCTCAACACCCTCTTATGCTCTGCCAATCTTTACCATCTGCTCCAGATCATAAGTCCACATTCTAAACTAACCATCCAACATCATGTTCCATATAAAATATATTCCCTAAGTGATTTTTCAAATAATCCCAAATTTCCCTAAAGTTGATTATTTTTGTTATTCCTTGCATCGTGACCATCTAAAACCCTTATCTTTTCATCATAAAACAAATATTATTTTTTTGTTAATCTCACCCAAAAATACCACTCACTAGCCTTATATTTGATTTGAATGTCAAGTTTATGATTCAACACAAACGAGTAATCTTGAAATTTTTTTCCAACTTAGCTTATTAATGATTGCATTTTTTTAGCATTTTTTTACATGGACTTTACCTTGAATTCTAATCATCATAGAATAGGACGACAATGATATAAGGTACTTTAATGTTTAGGAGCTTGAGACTCAATTTGACCTGAGAAGAAGAAGAAGAAGATTCTACTATGGTTGGCTAACAACCTTAAATAATTGTGACTCAATTACTTTAAGAGGACTTATAAGTGTATGAGTTACAAAAGGGTTTCAATGTATGAGAGGGTGATACAAAAATTATATGAGATGTGTGTAAGAGGATTTCTCTAAAATTATTTTCTAAAAAGAGATACTATATTAATTGATGAGAAATCTCATTGAGGTGACCAAGAGAGCCTTGGAACTATATAATGCCTCTACAAAGGGTTATGTGGAATGTGTTTTACTTTGAGTATGTGATTAAGTATTTTGATCTATCAAGAATGAAATCATGAGTAGTAGGGTAACAAATCTCAGGGAGGTTTTAGACTTATTGAGAGGAATGTAAGAGGGTGTACATTAGGTTTGTTCAAGAAGCATTTTAAGTAAAATTGCTTTGTGTCAAGAGGTTCCTTATATAGCTAAGAGTGGTCAATTAATGATCCAAACTACTTGGTTGTTGATATTGTTCACCTATTTAGTTTAGAGTGACATGAATGACAAAGATTGGACCCAAATGCCAAATTTTGAAATCGTTTTATAATCGATATCAATGGGATTGTGGTGAATATTTTTTTTCTTCAAATATATGCCACATGCAACTTATTTATCACTAATTATTATGATAGGGAGGTTCATTAACCAACAAAAAAAATAATGTTCAACATAAAAAGCATTAATAGTAAAAAAAACATCTAATGGTTTATGAATGTAATAAGCAACACATCTATTTCAAAACTCAAGATAATTTTAATAAAAATTTTAAAAAATCAAAATTAAATAAAATTTATATCCATTTTTTTTAACAGTTATAAATAATGATAACTTTTTTAAAAATTAAGTTAAATTAATTTTACTTTTTCCTTTTTCATAGAAATTTATAAAAATAAATTAATTTTTTTTTTAAATTGATTTCTTAAGAAACCGGGACATGAAAATCCAGGTTCTTAAGAAACCAAAATTTATTAATCTGGTTTCATAAGAAACCGTATTTTCATATATAGGTTTCTTCTCAAATCTAAAAAAAATTAGGGTAATTTATAGAAACTGGAGAAATAAGTTCCGTATTTGCTCCTTTTCAAAAATTTTCACTAATCTGCACCTTAAACAAATTTAGATTTAAAGCATGTTCCTTTTTATAAATTGGCCAATGTGCAATACACCTAAATCATTAAATTTTAATAAAACCAACAATCCTAACTTAGCTCTATATTTTCTATGATTTGAAAGCTCATATTAAGTAATAGCATTTATTTAGTGTTACATATATAAAATTATTTATGAAAAATTAATAACACATCACTTAAAGTTTGATTGTTTATAAAACTAATCCTTCACCCAAATAAATAAACCATTAAATATATGTATTTATTTGAAGTTAAACTCATAAAGTTATTTTTTTTTTTTTTAAAGTTTTTTTTTTTTTTTGAGAAGAAAAAAAAAATAATAATAACTCATAGAGTTATTAGAAATGAAAATAATGGTTGAGACTTCACTGTGCTCTTCAAAATTTAGGTGATCTAATTATAAATTAAAAAAAATTAAGTCTTAAATTTATAATCAATTAACTATCAAATTCTAAATAGAAAATTATTCAAAATTATTATTATTACCTACATAATTACGCTTGGCCCAAACCCATTTGGCTATAAGTAGGATTAGTATATCCTCTTTAATCCTTTAAATTTACATCTAATAAATTTTAGGAGATTAAAACATTAAAACTGATAGTTATAAAACTGTCAAATCATGTTAAATACTAATAAATTATTTGACTATTTATTTTAAGATTTAAAATTAGCAAATTCTTTTTAAGTTTATTAATCTTTAAATAATGGGATTTAATTAATAGTTAGACTAAAATAATATTAATTAAAGTACTAAATTTAAAAAAAAATCATATTTGACACTATTTAAATTAAATATTGCTCAAGTCATAAGATAGGGAAAAATTATTAGACGCGGAGTGTGCACCGTCCGCACAAGAATTGGGGGGTGCTCGGTACTACTTGGTACTGAGCGGTACCGATCATCCGCCAATATTTGTTGCGGATGGTTCTCCCCCGTCGGCACTCCACACCTAATAATCTCTCTAAGATAGGACAGCCAAAACTCTTTGCTTTTATGTAGAAGGGGAAATATGAGGTGAATCAGATGCAACATCACCCAACATAAAGTTGTACACAGCAAATGCGGCACGTTCTGATTCGCCTCATAAGAACATTTGTATCTGCATAGAATAGTTTCACATGAATAAGGGCTGAAGAAAGGGTAAATAGTTCAATTTTTATTTTGAAGGACAGTAGACCACGAAGAATTCTGGATCGTTTTTTATTTTTTTCCGATGGATTCAATCATCGGATTTTAATGGCTTGCGTTCCTCTACCTCGAAATCCCTAATTTCTGGCTACAAGGCGATCCAGGTCTTGGCTTTGATCCCTCCCACAGCTATTTTCTTTTTGTGGTTTTTGATTGCTTTTAATTGTAGTTGCTTATTTAATAGATGTAAAATCCGTTCTCCGGGGATTTTCTTCCGTTTATTCGTATCTCATCTCACTTAGCGAGACCCCGAGAACAATCTTCGATCATTTTCTGTAGATAAGTTCATAATTTTCTTTCTTTTCTTTTTTTCCTTCTAATCCATTGTGTGATGTGGAGGCGAAATTCGAAACCAATGAGGTCATTTTCCAGTCTACAAAGATGTAGAACTATTGCCCTTTCTTCACTTTCTGTTATCCTCGCTATCACTTTTGTGATAATTTATATAACTAGAGTTAAATCCAGTTCCCAATTCGACTCCCCAAAGCTAAAATGGAGCGGCTCTAAGTCTGCAGTCGAGCTCCAGCTTCTTCCATCTATGGTGTTTATGAATGGCACTGATTTGATGTGGCAACTACCTGAATCACCTAAAGCAGTCCTTTTTATAGCCCATGGATGCAATGGCAGATCTTCTAACTTTTGGGACAGGTCGTCTAGCTGTCCAAACTGTGTTGGATTGCCTGAAGAGAGACTCCTTGTTCTCCATGCCCTTGCTCAGAAATTTGCGGTGCTTGCAGTCTCCAGTGTTGGGAAATGCTGGACTTTTGGAAAGGAGAAAGAAACTGTTAAATGGATTATCGAGTGGTGGATTGATAAAAATAAGCTTGGGAAGCTGCCTGTTGTAGCTCTTGGGGCTTCATCCGGTGGCAATTTTGTTTCAGCACTTGCTGCTGTGATGAGGTTTAGTAGTATCACTCTTATGATTGCAGAAGGGGTATTTGATTCAATCGACATACCAACCAATTACCCTCCTACCCTTTTTATTCATATGCCAAAAGATCAGCGTAGAATGAAATTGATTGAGATGAATATGCAAACTCTAAGGATGAAAGGTGTGCATGTGAAAGAAGTTAGATGTATGCAGTTTCCCTTGACGCCGAACTTTTTATCAGATAGAATTCCACGGTTGGATCAAGCTTTCTCTGTTCAATTGTTTGAGCTGCTTCATCAGAGAGGTTTTATTGATGACAAAGGTTATATGAGGCGGGACGGGCGAGCCACTCGGTGGAAGCAAGTTTTAAAGGAAAATAAAATTTCATCTGAAAAATATCAGTGGGTTAATCATATTCAAGAAGAACTAAATCTCGCATATGGATATCACGAAATGACCAGTTTACAGTTATATGATATCTTTAGCTGGTTTGAAGCACATTTGAGTTCATCGAAAGCTTCATAAAATGTGAGCTATTCTATGACTCGAGAAACTATTCTTGTAAACATGTTTTTAGTGATGGAATAGAGTATCATATATATGATCATCAACTTTCTTCATGGAAAATATAATGGTTTGATTTCATTACATTTCTCTAAGAGCTTTTAAAGAATGATGAATGATGTCAATGCACAAAGTGCCATTCTTCAACATAGAATTAAATGAGTTGTAAGCTTGGTAAATATATTTTCATTAAGTGGTCTAAAGATATAGAATACTTTTGAGCATTGTTAGATATTTATGTGGCTTGTAGGATACAAGCGTTTTATGTTCCTTTATCTTAGAAATCCGCACACATGCATGGTCAGAGAAAGTGGGATTTTTAGTTAGAACATCTGAAAAGAAAAAAAGTAGCCGGTGTTGCTTGGTTGCAAAATCTCACCATTTATGAAAGAAGAAGAAAAGGATGGTTCACCTTCAAGTATTTGATGTGACCTTATATATGATACCCATTACATTGTTTTGATGAAAAAAGGAGTTTTTTAATATGCCTGAGTTAGTCATTATGCATGTTGGGTGCAAATACAATAGAAGTGTGTAGTGGTTAATGATACTCCCTAATAATATGATCTACTGTGCATTGCTTGTTACATCTTGAACATCCATTCTTCACATCCTAAGATAGTCCTCAACCATTATTTACTATCATTTATAACACTTAAAACTCATTCTTTGAAGCGATATTTCAAATCAGCTCAAATTTGACTAGTCTTGTCATTCATTTCATCATATCCATTTAAACCCGTCACCTTCACATCATCATACTTTAAACTAAATACCTATATCCATTTCTAGCCATTAATCCCACTAAAAGACCACCTATCACCATCACTAAATAGGAATGGTCAGCATCCTCACTCATCTCCACTCATCCAACTCAAATTTGACCCATCATCGGGAGGTAAATAATAACAAATATTGAGGTAAACTTAATAGAGAGCACAAAGCAAAAGATGAGTAGATTGATAGTTAGATCTATGAAAATAATGAATGCAGTGGCTAAAACAATTACTGAAGTTTACCTTTGACCAGATGAAGTTTTTAGGTATTTTTATGGTTTTGACTTTAAATCTGATCAAATTACCTTTGACCAAGAGTCAAATGGGGTTGACCAGCACTCTTAGTGCTGGATCCTTTGGCTGAGCCTAGGAAGTGGTCAAGGTTTCTAGATTTAATTCCAAGGTCATTGGTTACCTTAGGGGGAATTTGATACTTTTAGGCAACTTAGGATTTAACATAGGATTAGTCTAAGGTTTAATTTGGGTGAGCTTACTAAATTTCTAAGACCACTAAAAAGTGACTTGAAAAGTTTATAGAATCTCTAGGGCTAGCCAATGCTAAGTCCTTGGGTACCCCGTTAAGATTGGTCCTAATGGTAATTTTTATGCTAAGGTAGGATGAGTTAAGTGCTAAGGTGTCCTAGAGGAGAAAGGATTAACTTCATTCAAAAATAAAGACAACATCAACATAATATGCATATTGCATCATCTGAAACTTCATAAAAAATAGATAATAAAATTTGATATAAAAAATAGAAACATAAATTAAGTCATTAGCAACAAGAAAAATATTTCATGCAGTTGAATATTCAAATGATTACAAAATTCAAATTACAAATGTCACTTTTTCATACAGAGATATTAAAATCATAAAATCTTTATTACTTCTCATTAGTTTCTTCATTCTCTTCATGCATTTCTTGCTAATAGTTACTCCCATTCTGTTGTTGGCATAAATTCTACATCATAGCTTACATTATAATCATTCAAGCTTTTATTTTTTAATCAATCCAGTCACCTTTCTACTCACCAACACTTAAATTATATTTTTTACAGTGCCAAATGTTTTTGATGATTGGTTTCATATGCTAAAGCCTATCAGCTTAAGCTATAAAACCTCCCATTATGCTTTCCTCCTCCTACTTAAATTCATATTTTAATTGAAATCTCTCAATTGTTTGAAGATTGAACGAGAAATTATAAATCTTTACTGGCTTATATTGTCGATTGCAACATGCATGTTAGCAATCTTCTACTAATAAAAAAAAATTGCCAAAACTTTGATATTGTTCCATCAACTCTGGATGACAGCAGTAGACTAGTAGAGATTTCAAATCAGGAGGGAGGTTTGGCAATGATTTTAGGAGTGGGATTCTTCTTAATTGAAGTTTTTTGAGTGAAGAGATGGACAAAGAAGATGGCAGGCACTGCAATGCTTCGAGATCCGAAAGGTATAATTCTTCCAAAGAGGCGGGGATGTTTGGCAATGGTTGGAGCTGAGGAACATTTTTGACGGACAGATATTTCAAATCAGGAGGAAGGTCCGACAATGATTTTAGGAGCGGAATTCTTATTAAGTAAAGTCTTTTGAGGGTAGAGATGGACAAAGAAGATGGCAGGCACTGCAATGCTTCGAGATCTGAAAGATCTAATCTTTCTAGAGAGGTGGGGATATTTGGCAATAGTTGGAGTTGAGGAACATTTTCGACGAACATATATTTCAAACCGAGAGGAAGAACTAGCAATGATTTTAGGAGCGGAATTCTTACTAAGCGAAGTCTTATGAGGGAAGAGAAGGATAAAGAAGATGGCAGACATTGCAATGCTTTGAGATTCGAAAGGTTTAAATGTTCTAGAGAGGTAGGGATATTTGGCAATAGTTGGAGCTCAGGGACATTATCGACGACCAGAGATTCCAAATTGGGAGGAAGGTCTGACAATGATTTTAGGAGCAAAATTCTTGTTAAGTAAAGTGTTTTGAGGGAAGAGATGGACAAAGAATATGGTAGGCACTGCAATGCTTCGAGATCTGTAAGGTATAATTCTTCCAGAGAGACGGGAATGTTTGGCAATAGTTGGAGCTGAGAAACATTTTTTACGCATAGACATTTTAAACCGGGAGGAAATTCTGGCAATGCTTTTAGGAGCGGAATTCTTTTTAAGTCAAGTGTTTTGAGGGAAGAGATGGACAAAGAAGATGGCAGACATTGCAATGCTTCGAGATCTTCAAGGTTTAATTTTTCCAGAGAGGCGGGGATATTTGGAAATAGTTCGAGCTGAGGAACATTATTGACTAGCAAATATTTTAAACCAAGAGGAAGTTTTGGCAATGATTTTAACAGTGGAATTGCCATTAAGCAAAGATTTTTTAGGGAAGAGATGGACAAAGAATATGGAAGACACTGCAATGCTTTGAGATTTGAAAGATGTAATTCTTCTAAAGAAGCGGAGATGTTTGGCAATAACTGCAAAGATTTAAGCCCTGTAAATACTAGCACACGAAGGGATGAAGGGAGGTCAGGTAATTCTTGCAGCAAATGAACATTATGAATATTAAGTGTTTGGAGAGAAGAAAGGCTGGACAAGCAAGAAGGCAAGCTATCTAGGTTCTCAAGGTTATATAGGCTTAGTAAACACAAAAAAGAATGGAAGCCTGGCAATGATTTGAGGAGCGGAATGTTCTCTAAATGAAGATACTTCAGAGAAGAGATGGACGACAAAGAAGATGGCAAACACTGTAATGATTTGAGATCAGTAAGTGATAATTGTTCTAGAGAGGTGGGAAAGTTTGGCAATAGCCGAAGTTGAGTAGCATTAATTATGGATAGAATCTCAAGTGAAGAGAGGCTTGTCAATGAGGAAGGGAGAGTTTGTAGGGATTTAATATTTTTAAAGCTCAGTTCACGAAGGGATGAAGGGAGTTCTGGTAATTCTTTGAGCAGAGGAGCATCACCAATACTAATTTTTTGGAGATAAGAAAGTCTAGGAAGGCAAGAAGGTAAGCAATATAGGTTCACACAATAAATGTTCATAAGACGCAAAGAGAACGGGAGTTCTGGCAATGATTTGAGGAGAGGAATGTTGTTTAATTCAAGGACAGCTAGAGAAGAGATGGACAAAGAAGATGGCATGCATTGCAATGATTTGAGATTATCAAGCACTAATTTCTCTAGAGAGGCAGGGATGTTCGGCAACATCTGGAGTTGAGGAGCATTTTTCACATGTAGAATCTTAAGTGAGGAGAGGCTTGCCAAAGAGGAAGGAAGAGACTGCAGGGATTTCAGCTCCATAAAGTACAACTTATGAAGGGATGAACTAACTTGAGGAAACCACTGCTCTGCCTCATTTGGAAATGAAACCAACTCATCATTCTTTGTAATTGTCAGCTCTTGGATGCAACAGTTGCTAGAACATTGAAGCCAATTAAAAGCTTTCCATCCAATGTTATCAATCTTCAATTTCTTGAGCTTTGGAGGCAAAAAGGGCAGCTCTTGCAAATGTTGGCAGTCTCTTAGGTACAGTTCAGTTAAGCTAGGAAACAATTTGTCACCTTTTGCTACTGCTCTTGCATCAAACCAATCCTCTAATACTTTTAAATGTTCAATTTCTAGCACCTTCAGTGATGGAAAGAGGCAACCATTGCCATTTCCATGAAATTTACTGTCAGGCAGTCTTGCTTTTGGCATGTTACGAAGAAGGAGATATTTAAGGGAGGGAAGCTGCCCGAAAGGTGGAAGAGTTTGCCACTCCAAGCACTCTTCCAGTCGAATGTATTCTAGATTTGAGATCAAATTTATATTGTTCATCCATATTGCAGACCTGGCACCCATGAATGAATATATCCGCAATTGCTTTAAATTGTTGTGTGGCTGAAGATTGTCAAGCACTTTCTCATCCAAGGAAGGATAAAAAATGCTTCGTGATGTTTCTGGTATGCTTTTACAATGATCAGTTGCTAAAGAATCCCGCCAATCGTTGTTATAAAGGTGATTCCATTCTAAAGACAAATCAATGAGATTCCTCTTTTGATTTATTTTGGCACTGCAAGCCTCCTCGACATCCTTCACATTTTTAAGAAGTTTGATTCTTAACTGACGAAGATCATTCATATGCTCCAACTCCCCAATTTTATAACCAATCTCATTCTTAACATAAAACCCATCCAGCCCTTGAAGATATTTTAGCTTTCCAATCCCATGCATCCCATCAATGACATCCCAAGGAAATTTCAAGTAACGTAGATTAAAAAGATTATTTAAATCCTTTGGTAAGAAATCATTGTGAATACGCAAACCTCCTTTATCATATATTATAAACATCAAGTGATAAAGATTGCTCAAGGATCTTGGAAGTTGAGCAACACTAGTTCTAGCCATCTTCAAATATCGAAGATGTCTTAAACATCCAATTGCCTCAGGTATCATTGTCAACTGTTGATTATTTATGCACAATAAGCAAATGCTTCTCAATGTTTCAAAAATTTTAGTAAGTACATCAACAAAGTCTTGATCATCTTTGCTATAGGTTAAGTGAAGTGAATGCAAATTTTTAAATTTCTCAATCTTTCTGACCACTTCTAGATTGTTAGTATTAACCGCCAAATGTCGAATAGTTTCAGGAATTCTATAAGACAACTCAAATTCACCCTCAATTCTGAAGCATTCTTGTGTGGAAACAGATTGTGCCAGTTTGTGTAATAAATCATGCATCTTGTAATAATTATCATATTTATCAAAAAATGATTTCTTAACCAAAGTATCAAAATACCTTCCTCCAGTATCCTCCATAGTCTCTCCTTGATTATAAGATAACTGAATGAAATCCAATGCAATCCACGTTCGAATTAAATCATCTTTATCAAATTCATGATCTTGTGGGAATATGCAACAAAATGTGAAGCAACTTTGTAGAGGTTGTGGGAGGTAAATATAGCTCAATCTTAAGACAGACATCATATCATTTTTTATAATTCCAATATCACAATCTAAAACTTTTCTCCAATGCATTTCATCCAAATTATCATTCAGAATACCACCCATGACCTTTGCTGCTAACGGAGACCCTGAAAGCTTTTTAGCAATCTGTCCAGTAATAAATCTTAACTTTTTATGATCATCAAGATTCTCTACATCAGCAAATGCATGATTGTTGAGGAGCTGCAAACATTCATCTTCATCCAAGCCTTGTAATGTCAATGTTTCTTTCTTCTTTCTAATCACTTTTGCAATTATCAATGCAGCAGAGTCCATCCGAGTCGTCATCAAAATTTTACTTCCCAAACTTCCCCAAGACAGAGGGGCGAGCACATTCTTCCATTTACTTTTATCCCGTTCCTCATCACCCCAAATGTCGTCAAGGACCAGTAAGAACCTTTTGGACATCACCTCCTCCTTAAGTTTCCCTTGAAGTGCATCAAGTGAATCCAAATTAGGCTTCTCCTTTTTAAGAGATTCCAACATATCTGCAATGACTTTTTCCACATCAAAGTTGTTGGAAACACAAACCCACATTTTAAGATCAAATTCCTCTGTCATTTCATCTTCATAGACATGTTGCAAGAGAGTTGTCTTTCCCATACCACCATGCCACACTATGGATAGAAGAGAGATGTTTCTGTACAAATCAGTTCCCGGATGCCCATTTGATGGCTTCCTCAACCACTGCATAACAAACTCCTTTTCCTTGCCTCTACCGATAAGATCATTTCTAGGCAAGGATCCTGTTTCGCGTGATATATACAGCTCACGCTGCTGCTCCTGCTTTGTGCTTTCTAAAAGATGAAGAAAAATACTAACCTCAGCAGAAACTTTATCAAGTTTCTGCACGACTTCCTTAAGTCTCTTCAAGTTGGGATGCATTTTGATAGCACGGTCTCTACTAACTTTGTAAATTTTGTGAACATTTTCAATCAAGAAGCTCGCGCTGGAAGACGCCTTTCTTTTCTGATAAAATCGGTGAGAAATAGATCAATATATATATATTTGCAAACAGTTTCAAATAGGTAACACATGATAGAGAACGCACCTCTGTTTCATCATCGTTTTTGTTCAGCTGTTCTTCATGCTTCATGTACTCAAAGTCATCGAGCACATCATCTGCCTCATCAATGGCATCTCGAAGCTGCCATAGCCATCTGTTGAGATCTGGATTTTGATGTATGATCTGCGCTTTGTTGCAACCAAAGATGAGAGATTGAATCATGGGGTGGAGTTTCTGTAGCCTTTCCAGCGCCTCCTTCATGTCAGTGTGCAATACAACTTGATCTTGCAGGTAATCAAAGCAAGTGTTGATGATCTTCTCCATGATTGGGCCAACAAACCATTCTGCCATGACTGCGATAAAGAAGAAGCAAACAATCAAAACACTCTTGGTGTTCACTCTTTCTTTCTGTTTGTGTGTTAAACTTACGTGCAACGCTCGGACGCGAATTTACAAACTCTACCGCCGCGTATTTTCTAACACGCAACAAATCTCATCATTGGAAAATCTATTTGAGAAGAAAACTTATAAATATATTTGAATAAGATTTAAAATCAAATAATATTTAAATTTGATCCAGATTTGATAATAAAATAAATAAATGAACTTGATCTGGATAATATTCAGACCAATTTAGCTTATTTATAGTCCTAAACATCAACTAATAATAAAATGAATTCAATGGGAGCCTTATTTGAGCCCAAGTGCTTGCTATTCACCTATTGCCCCGAGCTATTCCCCATCATCAACAAGCCAATACACCTCATAGACAAGCAACATGGATGAGAGCAGCACTCATTGAAATCTCTCAGTATATCCATTTCTCAAATGTTTGAAGAACAAACAAGAAATAAACTTTTACTGGCTTATATTGTCGTTTGCAACCTTGTAAGAAATGAAGGAATTTTATGCTGTAAACTTTTATTCATTTGTAGGAAGCATGAATGATTGAGTAAAAATAAGGTTGTCAAAGTGGCCGTTGTATATTTTTTGAAGTGGAAAATGTAGAAACAAGGGTTGAGCTGTTAAATTATATTGGTTTGTTAACCTTATATAGGACTATTTTAAGTATTTGTAGTTTGCAAAAGTTTTAATGTAGTTTTAAGTTGGTATTGTTTAGCCATTTTTTATTTTTATTTTGTTTAAAACCCACAAATTAAGGAGCTTACACATTAATTAATCATGAACATTACAAGTCTTTAAAGAACCAAAAGCTCTCTAAAAATATAGCCTTTGAAATAAAAGCTATTATAATAAATAAGAAAGGAAAAGGAGCAGCCGAAACCAAGCAAAAGAAGAACATTCGTCTTGAAGAAGCAGCAGAAAAGACCACCACCATTAGAGGAAGCCACACGAACCTGCTAAAAATTTGGTTTGAATAGATGGCTGACATTGAACCCCTTGATCGTGGACTGTTTATTGGGCATTTGAATCTCTTAATGATATCAGATTCGATGATATTAGGTTCGTTTGATTTGTCTCGTCATGTCGCTTGATTCAACTATAAGCATGTCACATTTGGAAATCGTTGGGTCATCCAATTTATGGTTTGAACCTTCCAAAGATGCTTTGAGTCTTCAATTTGGATGCATTTGGGCTCGGATTGAGTTGATTTTGTAGACGTTGTCTTTGCCTTTTTGATGATAAATTGTTTTAGATGTTAAGCTAACAGTATGACAACAAAGAGGAATGCACAGTAATGCGTTTTCATTATCTGAGATATGAGTACATCATCCCTATTTATAGGGTATTGAATATAGAGTTGAAGTCCCCTAACTGTATTTACACGTGTACAGTAATTATTGGTCTTTGGTGTGTATTTGTACTTTCTTAATTTTGGATGCTTCTAGACTCTCATTGTCTAATACCCCCCTGCAATCTGATGAATCGATGCGAGCAATTAGTTGGTTGACAAGGAATTTGAATCGGGTAGAGGGAAGAGATTTGGTGAACAAATCTGCTAGTTGATCTTGAGTTGAAATGTGATGAACTTGAATGCTACCATTTTTTATGCAATCTCTGATAAAGTGGCAGTCAATTTCAATATGTTTAGTACGAGCATGATATACTTGATTGTTAGGCAAGGCAATCGCCGAGGTGTTATCACAGTATAGTTTGGTTGGTTCTATCTGAGAGCAACCTAACTCATTGAGGAGTTGCCGCAGTCATATAATTTCAGTGGTAACTAAAGCTATTGCCCGGTATTCAGCTTCCGTTGATGAGCGGGCTATAGTTGTTTGCTTTTTAACACTCCATGACACGAGTGATGTGCCCAAAAAATTGCAATATCCTGTAGTTGATTTGCGGTCTTTTTGATCTCCGGCCCGATCTGAATCAACGTAGGATTGAAGCACTAGTGAATCTCCATTGAAAGGTAATCCGAGCTGTGTGGTTCCTTGAAGATATCGTAGTATTCGTTTAAGTGCTTCAAAATCACTAACAGTTGGTTGGTGCATTTGTTGACACGCCCGATTCACGGCATAGGATAAGTCTGGGCGTGTTACTGTCAAATACTGCAATGCTCCAACAATTTGGCGGTACAGCTTTGGATTTTCAAACTGCTCAAGTGAACTTTCAACCACTGTCTTAATGATGCTCGGTGTAGATACAGGCTTGCTGTTTATCATTCCAGCCCGTGCCAAAATTTCTTCAGCATACCGTGTTTGCTGGAGTAGTAGACCTGTGGGTGTAGGAAGCACTGTAATACCGAGGAATTGGTTTATAGTTCCCAACGTTCTCATCTTAAATCTGTGAGTAAGCTGTCCAAGTAGATGATTGATGGTAGATGGATTGCTACCAGTTACTATAATGTCATCTACATATATTAGAACATATACTTTTGAGTCCCCTTTCCAATGGATTAGCAACGAAGGATCGGAGTGACTTGCAGTGAATTCCAACTGACGTAGGAAACCTGTAAGCATTTCAAACCACTGGCGTGGAGCCTGTTTTAATCCATACAAGGCTTTGTTTAGTTTACAAACATGTGTTGGATAATGAGAGTCAATGAATCCAATTGGTTGCTTCATGTAGACAGTTTCTGAGAGCCACCCATGCAAAAAAGCGTTTGATACATCTAGTTGATGTATTGGCCAATGATGATGAAGAGCCAGAACTAGTAGTACACGAACAGTTGTGATCTTGGCTACAGGACTAAAAGTCTCAACATAATCAATTCTGAATTCTTGGTTATATCCCAATGCTACTAATCTCGCTTTGTGTCTTGCAAGGGTGCCATCTGAATGATACTTGGTTTTGTAAGTCCACTTACATCCAAGTACATTTTGGTTGTTTGGTGGAGGCACTAGTATCCATGTGCCTTGAGACTGTAATGCTTGAAACTCTTGGGACATGGCTTTCCGCCAACATTCATGCTTAGATGCTTGCTTGTATGAAACAGGGTCTGTATTAGTGAGCTGATGAGTGAAGTCGAAGACTTGCTTTGGCTTGAGATTCCCAGTTTAAAATCTTGTTTTCATCGGATGGGTCTTGACATTGTTAACTAGAGAATTACCAGCATACGGGGCAGGTGTTGGTATGGGAGATGATTCAGCTGGGTTGATTGTAGTGTGAGAAGAGGTGGGTTGGTAGTTATGTTGTTGTTGTGGAGTTACAGGGGTTAACAGAGGAGCGTTGGTTGATGTTGCTAGTGTAGAGGTAGGAACAAGAAGAAGAGGAGGAATTGAATTTTTTGGATGAATATTGTTTCTGGTATTTGATGTGGAGATTTGGTTATGAAAAGGAAATTTGGTTTCATTGAAGATAACATGTCTTGAAGTGAATATGCGCTGAGTGATAATATCAAAACAGCAAAATCCTTTCTGATTTGAAGCATTGCCTACAAAGACACATGGAATGGATAGTGGGGATAGTTTTGATTTGGAATAGGGTTTCAACCAAGGAAAGCAAAGACAACCAAATGTTTTTAGATGAGTGTAAGAAGGTGGCTTTTGGTAGAGGACTTCAAATGGTGTTTTATATTGAAGTGTAACCGTGGGAATTCAGTTTATAAGATAAATGGCAGTGTGCAATGCTTCAACCCATAATGTATGAGGTGCATTGGAATGAATCAGTAGACTTCGAATGGTTTCTAGGATATGACGATTTTTACGCTCGGCTACACCGTTTTGAGCCGGTGTATAGGGACAAGTATATTGATGAACAATTCCAACAGATTTACAATAGATTTTGAATTTGTTATTTAAGTATTCCCCACCGCCATCTGTACGAATTGTACAGATATTGGTGTTGAACTGACATTTAATAAATTGATGGAACTGTGTAAACACTTGAAAAACTTCTGATTTATGAGCAAGAGGAAAAACCCAACAGAATCGTGAGTAGTCGTCAATAAAAGTGACAAAGTAACGAGAGCCTTGCATTAATGTAGTATGAGAAGGACCCCATACATCTGAATGTACAAGCTCAAACAACTTATTTGTAAAAGAAACTGAAGCAGGAAATGATAGTTGCTTGCTTTTAGCAAGATGACAAGTGGTATAAGAACTAGTATGGGACGTGGTATGTATAATAGGAACAACAGTAGACAAACGTTTGAGGGTAGCGCTAGATGGATGTCCAAGTCTGAAGTGCCATCAGTCCGGTACAGTTTGAATGGATAGAAGAGCAGGATTAGGTGGTTTTGTCGAGCGAACCGAATAAAGTCCGTTATGGCAAGGACCTTGAAGAATAACCTGATTGCTCTTCGTATCCTTGATTTGGTATCCAGCGGGCGAGAAAGAAACGATGCAGTTATTGTCATGAGTTAATTGGTGAACAGAGAGTAAATTAAACGAGAGATTTGGTACGTGATGAATGTTTTTGAGTTTGAGAGTACCTGATGGTGTTGGGAGAACGCCTTTACCGGTATACTGGATTGGCATTTGTTGGCCATTTCCCAGTACAACATGAGAAGATCCCATGTATGGATCGGTATTCATCAGATGAGTTGCATCAATAGTGAGATGTGTAGAAGTGCCACTGTCAAGATACCAATCAGCACTATTTTGTGGTTCGGAAGAACTAAATAATGCAATCTTTTGTGAATCTTCATTGTATGAGAAGTCTGCACGATACCAGCATTTTATTGATGAATGCCCTATTTTCATACAAATCTGACATACAGTCTTTGCTGGAGGTCTGTCAGATTGCGGTTGTGAAGATCGCTGTCCACGGCCTCGTCGTCCACGATCTGCATTACTACGACAGCGACCGCGACCACGACCCCGGTAAGCCGCTAGCGCCATGGTAGGATCTGTCATCTGTAAGTTTTGAAGATCTTTGGGCGTATCTTGAACTAAAATCTGTTCTTCTGTGCACAGAAGTCTGTACAAGTCATCGAGAGTTATAGGCTGTAAATTTGTCCGAAGAGCTGTTTTGAATGACTGGTAAGAGGCTGGAAGGCCATTAAGGGTGTGCAGTATAACATCTTCAGGCTCGACTTTACTGCCTGCAGCGGCAATTGAATCTACTTTTGACTTTATTTCAAGTAGATATGCAACCATTGATTTATCACCCTTGACAACATGATGAAGTTCATTTTTCAATTGAAGAACACGGGATCTCGTCGTAGATTGCAATCGTAGTTGAAGTGTATCCCATATTTCTGCAGTATGTGTTACCGAAAGCACGTACGGGAGGATAGTTGGTGAAATTACCGAATATAATGCAGCGGCTAGGTTTTGATAAATCAAATCCCATTGCGTTTGAGCTAAGCAATCGCTGGAAGATGAGGATTGATCGGAGGGGTTCGGAGCAGGGATTGAACCATCCAAGAACCCTTTAAATCCGTTTGCACAGAAGATCTTGAGCACCTGAGATTTCCAGATCGGGCTAATTCGTCTCTGTTAGCGGACTGGATACCAGGTTCTTGATGTGACTCATCAAGAATTTGAGCTGAGGAGAGAAACTGAGTTGCGGGTTTGTCGATGTCGAATCCACCGTGGGAAGAGAGGTTGACGATCCCTCCATTGAGAATCAGTTGTTGAAAAGAGAACAAGAACAGGGAAAAAAATTCGTTCTTAGAGACGAAGCTCTAATACCATGATAAACTGTTTTAGCTGTTAAGCTAACAGTATGACAACAAAGAGGAATGCAAAGTAATGCGTTTTCATTATCTGAGATATGAGTAAATCATCCCTATTTATAGGGTATTAAATACAGAGTTAAAGTCCCCTAACTGTATTTACACGTGTACAATAATTATTGGTCTTTGGTGTGTATTTGTACTTTCTTGATTTTGGATGCTTCTAGACTCTCATTGTCTAATATTTGATAGGTTCAATTTGACTATAAATTGCTGAGATTGTAGTTCATATGGTTTCGAATTGAATTTAAAATTTTTGCGACTTGATTTTTCCTTGAGATTCGTGACTGATCAAGATAATTTTTTGGTGATATCAAGTATTAAGGTTATTTTAGATTTAAAAGAAAAGGTTATTTTAGATCATTATAGCCCTAAGCATCAATCAATAATAAAATGAATTCAATGAGAGCCTAATCTGAGCGAGACACATTTGAAAAATTTGTTGTTAACAGTACGACACATGTTTGTGAATAGCATGCTTGTTTTTAATTTCTTTTTTCTCATGTGGATTGTGTTTGGTTCGAATTTAGTTTGAAATAGTTAAAAAATGTCCAATTTCATTTTTTTAATAAGTATTATAAATAAATAAATAAATTAAATATATATATATATACAAATAAAAGGGATACAATAGTACAGGAATAGGACAGCCACGAGCTACAACAAGCACAAGAACAAAACTTAAAAATCAATAGCCAATAGGACAAAAGAAAGCAGTGAGAGTGGACTCAGGGTGGAGACCCCAACACCAACACACGAGGCAAGCACAGGCCATCCATATGTGACAAAACCAGAGTGGAGCTAGAACAAACGTGGCACCTAGGTTGCCAATCAGCCAAGCCACAAAGAGGATGCAGGGGCCTCCTCATCATCGTCCAATCAACACCAAAACCACGGAAGCAATCAACCCAAAAAATAGGCCAATTATTTCCTACCTCTGCGTTTAAATTTACCACGACCACGACCTGGAAAGCGGCCAACATCATCTTTCTCAAAATCAATAAAATTCCCTTCTTCCCCACTAGAATTAGAAGACATGGCATACTCTAAGTATAGCCAGTCAATTTGAAACAAAACCGAATTGTTAACGGACTTAGCCACATGATCTTGCATTTCAGGATTCGACAAGACAGAAATAGGGATGTTCACAAAATTATCATTCCCGTCAACAACACAATTAGGAGCACATTCAAATTGCCCCGGATTATCCACCACCATATTTAATGAAGAGGAAGCAATATCCCAAATATCGGCCACTCCACACCCAGGAACCAACCAAATAGGAGAAGCATATAAGATCTTTACAGACGGCATAATAAGAGAAATAGAGGACCCAGAATGATCAGCAACCACACCAGGTATAATAGCCTCAGCCAAAACACATGAGGCAACCACAATAACTACACGAGACAAGGCAAATGGAATTAAAACCACCACCAATGTCACTAGCACACAAACGAGATGTCAGGACACCAAACTTGAGCCCGACAACAACAGGGTCCGCCCGAGGAGACATAAACACAAGTAAAACACCCTCAACGACTACCACCTCCTCAGCAGGAATAAAAACATATTCACAATCAAACACATCCACATCATTAGAACAAATTCCAGGAGAGGAGGAAATGATCTCAATAGGGTGCACAGACGGTAAAGCAATAGGAGACAACAGCTAGGTTAGGACTCGAATTATAATAGAATTATTATATCCTAAATCTAAATCCGGCACAACAGCAACATGAATATCCTTCTGCAAAGGGGGTTGAGATAAATGCGGATGCAAAATACCACATTCCAACTTGGAATGGCCTAAGGATTTACAATGCAAATAATATAAAGGCAAATCCTCCAAAGTTACCAACTGGACATAGCCTAAATTTTTTGGGCCAACACAAATCTTGTCAGGGAATTTCTTAGAGACGTCCAATTCAACCAAAACCCGAGCTACTGAAGGGCGAAAACCAAAGGAGATAGCATGATTGATTTTTAGAGGGCGACCAAAAATAGAGCCAAGGCCTTGAAGAATCCTCGGAGAAAAGAGATGGGGTCTCAAGTTCGGGAAGGACACCCAAATAGGGATAACAGGAGATTCAATATCCACATTAAAAAGATGGAGACCACTTAATCAAACACATGTAACTATTGTTCACGAAATAAGAACGATGAGCAAAGATACGTCAATAATCCAAATCATTACCTAATTTAATTAAAATGTTCTTCAGATTCAGAACCATAACAGAGAACTCTCCATTGAGTTTCAAGTTGAAA